TGTGCCTTATTACATTGCCTCTTTTTGTAAAAGGTATTGTGTGATGCTGAGAAATATGTGTAGTCTTCAAAAAATCTTTCGGCCCTGAGTTCTCCCAGTTTGTTCAGTTCTGTGTTTTTCTTTGTATCATTAGATTTGTCCAGCTTTGAGAAAGGAGTTACCTACTATTATTGTATATTGGCTATTCTTTTTAAAACAATATTTTATTTTTTCTTCATTACATGTAAAAACAATTTAGCATTTGACATTTTTTTTTAAGGTTTTGAGTTACAAATTCTATTCCTTCCTTCCTCCCCTCCCCCCTCCTTGAGACAATAAGAAATCTGATATAGGTTATACATGTGCAATCAGGTAAAACATTTCCATATTAGTCATATTTTCAACCAGCATAATTGTTATTCTGGCAAAACCACAGTTCTTTAGAGAGCCCCAACTCTTCATGGTAAATAAGTGGACACATTCCATGAGATGTAAGTTAAAGGTGATAATTTTCTTCTGATTACACATTTTTCATGTTTTATTTGGGAATGGACAAATAACTGATGGGAAAGAATACAATTTTGATTCAGGGAAATGTTTCAGATGAGAAATTTTAATAGATAACATTAACTAATAGCATTAATTAGGTTGAGCTACTTTGTTAATTGCAACTATTGCTTTATTAATGGCAACAGTATTGTGCTTCATAGGTATATGATCTAGATTATGATAAAATGTGTAATCTTAAAAAGTACTTTATTCTAGAAGAACACTAAATGCTATGTATTTAGTGAAAGATCAATAATCCTTAAAAAGGTAATATACCCAGTAAACATTTTTTGCTTTAATTGTGTATTATATCAGGGAATTTCTAGAAACCAATTCAATGTTATTTTATTCTTATATATTTTTATTTTGTAAAAGAACAAGTTATTTGCTCTTTCTTTTAAAAACTCCACCCCCTGTTTAGCTCTTATATAAAGAATCTGTAGGAAATCTTGAATAATAATAGTAATGTTTTGGTTGTTATTACCGTGATTATCTTTGACACTTCATAAAGACTATGATTCATCTGGCCTACTCACATAAAGCTATTTTTCTATATTCATAAAAAGTGGATAAACAATGCTAATTTAAGGACTCCTTATTTTAAAAAATTCCTGAGGCAATTTATACATTCAGAATTTTAAATGTCCAATAATTATTTCAGCAGAAATTATGAAAATTTTTAGTCATAATATTTCAAACATCTTAGCTTGCTATAGAATGTTTTATTAATTTAAACTTTTTTTGCGAGAATCTTTTAGTATTTCAGAATTTAAATTTATTCTAAAATTCAGTGCAGACGACATTTGTATATTTTAGTACCTCACAATTTATTGTGTATACTTTTAAAAACATCGTTCTTTTAACCTGTCAGCAACTCAGTTGAGCAGTCAAATCGTATTATTCAGTATCTTGTCTGACATGAGGACAGCATGCTGAAGAGAAAGATATCACAAATTGGTGCCACACTTCGATAAATAAAGACATTTTATTTTTCACCAAGCTAATTCAATCCAGTTCAGTTAACTCATTTTTTCCCCCTTAAGGACAGATCAAAAAAGGCAATCTATGAATGACTGAGTTCATCATGTGTTTGACACATCAGTGTGAGAATAAAAAGCAGACTATGAGGGAGGGTTCCTGTCTTTACACTTTAGACAATACCCGATAAAAAAAGGCCTCTCACACAGATCTCCTTTATGTAGTAAGAAGGGCAGAATGTCTTAGATCACTGTTAAAAACAGATATAAGGGAAATTAACTGGGACTTGATTCACTAGATACCTTTTCCCTTTCAGTTGTTACCTTATTGTAATATAATCATCCTAAAGTATTCTCATGTTTTTCAGGGGGTTGTTGGCTTTCATGTGAGTTACAAAATCCATAGGCTTAGATAGACTGGGCTCCCAATTTTTCATCAATTTAAGTTATTTTGGCTTTAAATATTTTATATTCACTTATATATTATTTGTATTTTTTCTTAATATCAAAGGAGCAAATTTAAAAAAAAAAGATTTGCATATCAGTAACTGCTATAAGGCCAAGTAGAATTAAAGACGTGAGAGCACATCCAATTTCCATTAAAAATGTTTAGTTCTTATGAAATTATTAAAACCAGATTTTTTGGGGTCACTTTTGTTTTTACGTCATCTATATCTTGCACTGAAACTTTACCTCCCGACCATTCCCAAGAGGTATCCTTTATAGTACTGAATATTCTTAAAAAGAGGAAGACACCTCCCCCCTCAATCAGTAAAACCAGCTAATACATTGGGGGGGGGCAACTAGGTGGTGCAGTGGATAGAGCTGTGGCCTTGGAATCAGGAAGACCTGATTTCAAATGTGACCTCAGACACTAGCTGTGTGACCCTGGGTAAGTCACTTAACCATGATTGCCTCACCAAAAAAACCAAAACAAAATACTGCAACCTGACATCATATGCAGTGTTGCACACTAGTGGAACCCCAACCTTTTTAGAAGAGGTTAGGAAAGATGTCTTCTCATATTTTGTATTTAGACCTAAGCTTCATGCTTGTAATTTCACAATGTTCTGTTTCTAGTGGTTGTTTCCATTTACATGGTAATCATTACAGGTATTGTTTTCATGGCTCTGCTTACTTCACTTTAAATCAGTTAGTGTAAGTTTTTCTGTGCTTCTCTGTATCATAGCCATTTTTTTTTTACAGCATAAAAATGTTTCATTACATTTGTATGCCACAATTTCTTTAGCCATTCCCCCAGTCAGTGATCACCTACTCTGTTTCTAGTTCTTTGATACAAGAAGTGCTGCTTCAGATATTTTGGTATTTATGGAGTCTTTTTTTGTTGTCAGTAGTATCCTTGGAATATGTCTAGCAGTGTAATCTCTGGGTCAAAGGTTATGGATATTTTGGCTACTTTATTTGCTTAATTCCAAATTACTTTGTAGAATGGTTGTACTAAATTATAACTCTTCCAACATTTACTTGTTATTTAACAGCTCCTACAACATAGACTACTTCTGTTTTATATCACTTTTGTCACTTAGCTGGGTATGATGTGAAACCTCAGAATTGTTTTGATTCTCATTTCTGTTATTATTAGTTATTTAGAGCTCTAATGAACTTACAAATGTGATATTGATGCTTTTATCATAATATAAAGCTTGTTATATTATTTGAGGAAGTAAATGTTATACAGTCAAATATGAACAACCCAATTAATATGTGCATGTGTGTGTCCATATATCTCTCTCCCTCCCCATATATAGCCGAACACTAACAGAAGAAAACTAGCCCATGACAGCATAGAGCCAGACTTTGCTTAAGATTTTTATTTTTTTTTGCCTGAAAGGTTGATTTCATATGTTTCTTATTCTCATATCTTTCACCTTTTTTCTAACAATACCAACATCACACTTTTGAGTCCAAGCCTACAGTCAGTGCCTTAAAAAGGCCACAAGTAGCATTATATTTTACATCTGCTTGTTGTGACTCCTTTATGTGGTCCTCTGTTCACTTATTCCATTTTCTCAAAGATATAATACCTCACAACTCTTTACCTTCCATCGCAAATTACATTTTATATGCATTATATATAATTTTCTTATTTGATCCATGTGTTAAATGTTTAATCTTAATCTCTCTATATTTTTATTGCCCATCTTGAATTTTAAGTTGGATGGAAGAGCATATAAGTTATTTGCTTTATACATTAGCTAATACAATGCAACCCAAAAAATAAAGCAGTTCTAAACTCATGGGGTTATAGTATTGCAGTATCTCCTAGCCTAGGCCTGATAGAGATCCCTTAGTATCTATTGGGAGTTAATGCATATTGGGCAAAAAGTACCATCATCTTGATATTGAGGCTAGTAATAACAAATGAAACTTTTAGGAATATGGTGGTTTGTTTGGGGATTATCAGACCTTTACTTTTTGCCATATAAATTTATGGAATGTGCTATATATAATAAGAGATGCTTTTTATTATATGTTTATGTTATATAGAGAAATGCTTTTAAAAAGTAACATAGTTAACATACACATAGACATAGTAACAAAGTTTATGTAGATTTAGTCTTTGATGTCTGCATTCTTTATGTAGATCTTCCAAAAATTAAGAAGTAAAATTAATAAGTCTTGTAGGAATACAGTTATAGCATACCCACAATCCATTTTAATTCAGTAATAGCAAACTTATTAAAAGCACAAGAGATTTCCCCAGGGCTCAATTGTTATGCTTTGTAGAAGGTACAGTAGTTTTAAGTAACCAGTGAAAATAATTGATACCTAAACATTCAATTGCATTTATCTCCTAAATAAATTTTTGGTTATTGTTCACGTCTTAAAGGACAAGCTTTATGGCAAAAGATTATTGATGCATTTAGAAATAATCCTAATTTCTTCTCTTTTATTATTTTTTAGCCTGAATATTTAATTTTAAGGCCAGTATAAAGAAATACTTATGCCAAGAAGTTGTCTACATGACTCAGTATTGAGTCTTAGCAGTAGAATGATACATGGAAGGTTAATTTTGCTGATATGAGACCTATGAATTAGAAGACTTTTGCCTCATCATTTTAATATCTTTGAAGTCCCAAATTTACTTAATTCTTCATAGATTCGTATAAAAATATCCTGAGTTACATGTCTTCTAGTATTGCAAATATGGTATTAATAATATTTAGTGTATAAATTTCATTTTTGTGAAGTACCTCTGTAGTTAATATTATTTTTACATTTGTATTTACTGCTTCAGGAGCAATAGATTTGATTCTTTATTTCTGAGGTATACATAAATATACAATGCTTACCTCCAGATTTTAAATTTTAAGAGATAGTTTATGAATGCTATCATTGCTTTCTTTGACTATTTGTTATAACTTAAAATATTATCACAGAAATTACTTTGATACTGGTTTAAAAGGTATATTTTTGCATTCAATGTAGGCTATACCTACTATTTGACATTTATGTATATTTTTTCTTACTCAGTTTTCATATGAAACCGACAAGCAGTGAAGATCTCAGGAAAACACTGGTGAGTAACAGCATTGCAAACTATTGAAATTTTTCTTTATTACTAGAGTTAAGTTACTAAGGTTACTATAAAATAATATGAGACTACAAAAATGCATTATGTATTACATATAATGGGAAGCAGGATTCATAAGAGCTATGAAATTTTTGGTAAATAGTGTAATTATAGTTGAAGAGTTTTAAATACATATATTTCATTTGTTTTGATATTGGTTTAAAGATAGAGTTAAAGTGAATATTTGTGTGTGTGTGTGTGTGTGTTCAAGAATATGGAAATGACAGGTGCAACAATGTTTTTGTTTATTGTGATATGGATAACTTTGAACCAAGGATAATGCTTGAATAACCTGAGTATTATATATGAAAAGTATTAGTTAATCTGGTGTCTGTCAATCCAAGACTACACCTTCTTGCAAATACATTTGCTTTTTGCCCTGATGGTGAAGATTTTAAGTGTCCTAAGTATTCTATTTCCCTTTGAAGACTTTTGTAATCAGATGTATCCAGTGCCAGAATACTTTTCCCAGTATTGAATATTAACATTTCCTCAATTTGTTTCTTCTGGTTTTACTCCCCTTCTATAGTTGGGGCTACTGTTAGGTTATTGCTTAAAGTTGGATTTTATTTGTAACCAGCTTAGCATATCTTAAAATAAGTGATGAGCTGCTTTAGGAAAATGCGGATAAGTGTGGCCATGGTCTTGGTGTAAAAGTTCTCCCTGAATCTGGGGCTCTAATCCAAGAGGCTTGAAGTTAGTTTGTGCTTAATGTGTATGATGTAGGTGAATAGTAATGATTTTTTAAAAGTAATAAATCACAATTTATATGATATAATATGCTTATAAGAAATGATGGATATATTAGGACTTATACACTACTCAAAATATTTTCTTTTAATTCTCAAACTATTCAGAAAATATTATAGAAAGCAGTATGACTTTGTGCCATTTATGTAAATGAGTTATAAGTTTTAATGTTTCATAAAAACCTAAGTTTCTATATATGATAGACTGATAGGAAATGTCAGAATGTGTGAAGTCAGTCTTTGATCAGATAATAAACTGAATTTTATCAGCCAGTTACTTAATTTTTTGATGTTTTATTTTGTTTGAGATTAACTTAACATGGTAGCTATTGTTTCTAAAGTAACCTTAATTACAATTTCTATGTGCTTGTAAATGTACTTCTCCAACTCATGTAATTCATTACTATAAAAGCATCCTTAGAATTCTTTAAAGAAATAAAACATGAAAATTGTTTTATTTAAAGGATTTAAAGGTGATAAAAGAATTCCTTGATGTGTGATTATTTTTCTTTGGAATACTAACTATCCTTAATGACAGTTAAAGGATTACTAGGTGTTGTTAATTTAATGCAAGATATAATTAAAAGGAGAAAATGCTTCCTCATACTGGTTATTGTTTTTTGAGGAAAAAGTATTTGAAAAATTTTTATGAAGATTATAAGATGTTTGAAGTAATTTACATTAAGTTCTCCAATAATAGCAATCCACCAGGTTATTTTTTTCCCCCTGGACATAGTGTTTTGTAATTAAGTTTGTATGTCTTATATTCTGGTGCCAACACCTGTCTCTGAAAGCGCAGTGTTTAAACAGGAGCAGTAGCCAGTTGAAAGGGCAGTGTGAGCTCTTTAAGGCCTAATTAAGAACTGAAAGGGAGATCAAGGGAGTAGGACAAAAGATGTGAAAGTAGCTGAGATGATATTCCCAGAGCAAAGTTCCTCATTAGAACAATAATGAGATGATCAGAGAATGCCAAGCCTTCATCTTATCTCTCTCTCTCTCCTCTAGTTGCCTTGGATGTCAGTTAGTACCCCACCAATATTTGGTTACCAGGACAACCTTTCTTTAAATCTTTAGCTATTTTGAGTCCTGGTAATTTGCTTTTGTTTAAATTTAAGTATGGAAAAAGATAACACATTTCTTAGTTAAAAATGTAGAAATTTGCACATAAAGGAAAATATAGATTATCTTATGAATGTGTATGTTAATATAAAAAATTCAGAGTGGATAACATTCATAACAGTTCCATTATTCTTTCACCCCATCCTCAACTCCTTAAAATATTTTTACTATCTCTATGTGGGGATTTTATTGGTGGGATGGGGTGGAAAGATGGTTTGCATTGGATTTCAGCATAAGAAAACATCTTAAAAACATGTGTTATATGGCATAAACTAGGAAACAATGTAGAACAATTAGGAATCACACTGAATGCTTGTTTTAGAGTTTTGCCAGATTATATTTTTTCCAATATCGGCTCTTTTCCAAAGATAGTACATAAATTATTTTTAGATGATTAGAAGAATTTTATATTTGATTTCCAATTTAGCTTAATAATACTGTTAATATTATTCTGTTTGTGGATAAATATATTTATGACCCAGTGGATCCCTGCATTTTAATTTTATTCACACGTGAATATTTTTGCATCTTTACAATATAAAATGATCTTTTTTTCAGGTTTAGTACCAGGCAATATAAAAATCTTTTCTAAAAATAGAGTTGCATAGTTTTTTCTAATCTGGAATAAAATCTGGAACTGAGATCCAACTGTGTTTTTAATTACTCTGTATTCTTTTCCAGAATTTAGCTCATAATACATGTGTTCCTAAGATGTTTTCTTACTACAAAACTTCATGCAAGATTTCTTGGGCAAAATACTCACATAGACACAGGAAAGCTCCAGGAAATATACTCAAAAGTTTCTCTAGTGGAAGTGTTAGCTGTCTTTTTGGGGATGGTTTTACTTCCTGGAAGTCTGTCTACACCTTAATATGTATTGGTTTTAAACACTTATCACAGAGTTTTAGAACAATCAGATATTTGGGGAAATTAAATTTCCACATGCTAATAATTTGGTCATGGTTAATTTAAACTTCTGATCATTAAGACAGTCTTGAAATCTATTATTGCTTAATTCTGTTTTCAGCGTCTCAAAAAAGGTGTTAGTTAAAATAAAGCTTTTCTTTATACTATCTTATGATATCAGTGTTTTTGGAATTATTGCAAAAGAATTTTAACAATACATTGTAAATCTGGAGAACTGAGTGTATATATATAATGCATATTTTGATTATTATGAGCAAGATGTTGATGGATGAATATTATAGTTTTGTCAGGATAAGCAAGAATAAAACCAAACTACTTCATAATGTATCTTATATAGTTTCATTTATTTAATTCTCACACCTACTGATTTGTCACAGAATCGTTGAAAGTCCCTGGTAAGGATAAATATTTTAGTGTGACAGTGAACTCTTCAAGGGTTTTATTGCTTTTATAAAACCAAACAAAAAACAACATTACCTAGAATCTTAGACATGGAAGGGGACTTAGATATCATCAAGAACAACTTCGTTTAACATACAAAGAAACAGAGGTCCTGAGAGTTCAATATTTCAGTTTCCATTATTATGACAAAAATGATCCGTTTGAGGTTCAGAATTTCAAATCCTATTTCAGGACAGGTCCTTTGGTCCAATATTATATGCTATCCGACTATAAAAATTGCTTGGAACAAGCTATGTCATCTTGCTTTCAAATTGTGTTTGCTTCATTTTTTTCCTTATTAAAATTAGATCTCCAAGAGAAAAAAAAAACTCACAAAAACTAAGTGATTTTGGATCCAAAATGTTTTTTTTAGGAATATTTTTTCTTAGGTATATTTCTTAAATACATATGTATATTATATGTATCATATAATATATGTAATTTGACATACATTATATATATATGTGTATATATATATAGTTTGATATATGTAATATGGGGTTAGATCTCTTCAAAAGATCATTCAGAAACTTAGCTAACATGTTCAGATTAAATACGTTTACAAATTGAATTATTGTACATTGATAGCTATTACTAATTGAAATCAAACTAGTACTATAGATATGTATCCTACACTGATTTGTATGTTCTTCAGAAGAAAGTTGGTTACATGAATAAGAGTAGAAAAGTATCTAGTGGTCAGAATATTGACCTCCCAGAAATAGACTGCACATCTAAAATATCTCATTAAAATGGAACAAAAGTATATACTTTTAAAATTATATAATAATACTGTACTTTAAACAACTGATCTATTTGGGAGAAAATTTCTTTTTTCAAAACTAAATAAATGTCACATAAAATGTAAGGTCTCTTAGCAAAATAAAGGAAGCCTAGGAAAAGGGTGTATTTTGAGTGTCAAACTCCAAAATTTAGGTCTTTTGTATGTGAAAGTCTAATACAGATGAGTCAGTCGACAGGCATTTATTCCAAATCTACTTTGTGTTAGAATCTATACCAAGTGCTGGGGATGCAGGTACAAAGAAGGAAATAATACTTTTAAAAGTTTAATTTCAAATGGAGGAAACTGACAACCTTTAAGTAAGGTGGTAGCTATGAGTGGAAAGAAGGGGTCAGATTATAGAGATGTAGTAGAGGTAGGAAGATTTGGCAACTGATTAGATATGTGGGGTAAGGGAGAATGACAAGTTAAAGATAATGTTGATAATGAGGATAAAGTTAGGAACCTGAGAGACTCTGGGTACCTTTGACAGGAATAGGGAAGTTGGGAAAAAGGAACAATTTGGGGAAAAGATAAGCTTTGTTTTATGTATCTTGAGGTTGTGGGCCATCAATTCGAAATGTCCGATAGGTCATTGATAATGAGGATTGAAGCTCAGGGAAGAAAGTAGATACACATCAATGTTTTATCTGTTGGCATGAATAGAGCTATATATGCATAGATCTTTTCTTGCTGAGATTTTGTGTGTGTGTGTAGATATGAGTAGTTGGTATATGGAGAGTAGATGAGAGCCTAAGATAGGACTTTACTCTCTAGCCAGCTGACACTGCCCATATTTAGGCTTCTTCTGGGTCATTCCTTTGATTGATTGCAAAGTTTAGAAATGTCACCTCACCATGGAACTACTACTCTTGTTTTTTCCCACCTACCATCTAATCTTTACACTGAGTTCTCTGGTGCTGCCTTTG